TTCACTACCAATGGACCAATATGCCCTGTATAATATTTAATTCATTCTTATACAATTTGTGCCCCCCCCACCTCCAACTGATTTATACTACTCCTTTCGGCAACTTTTCTGACCCAAAAGCCGTGGCAGAAAGTATATTGGGATATATACGACTTGACTTTGCTCTAACAAAAAAAAAAAATTCAAGTAAAGTTGTGAGAGCTCCCAAAGTTGTAATTCTGTCTCTCCATTACATTCTACAGAAAAACCCAGAAAATGCAAAAGCCTTGTATGAGAAAGACATTGCATCAGCAGCCAGACCTACAGTTCCAAAAGATGGGCTGCTGTAACAGCAACACAAAAACCTCTTCCCTTTCTAGCACCCAAGATAAAATTTACTCACTAGATAAATATTAAATTTTATCCAAGCCCACTACCTGGACCACTGCAATGGTGTCTAAACTAATTTTCCCATTTTCCTGTTCTTGATCCTGCAGTTACAGTCATTCTTTTAAAATACAAGTGTGCTCATTTTCCTCTGACTTCCCACATACAAAATAAATTCTATCTCTTACCCCCCAATACTCATCCTGAGCCACCAACCACATCTTGCTGACTCTCTCCCAGATCTCTGGATCACACAAGCCTTGGGGTGTTCTTCAAGCAGGCCTGAGGCACTCTGACCTGCTGTGCCTCCTTCCTGCAATGTGGACACCTGCATGGGATTCTCCCTCATTTGATTCAGGTGTCCACTCAACTGTCACAATATTGGTTGCCTTTCTAATTACGCCATCTAGAAGATCACCCATTCCACTATTTCCAAAATTCCCTAGCCCTTTATACTTTTGCCCTTCTCGCTACTGCTCCTGTGGTAGCTGATGTTAAATATTCATTTGTTTACTGTCTGCCTTGCCCTTGCCCAAATAGAATCATCACGACAGCATGAGGGCCCTTTGCTCATTCAAGGTCCACAAGTGCGTGGCACATAGTAAGTTGCTCACTGAGCATGGTGGTGTGAATGGACTACAAACAACCACTTTCTATGTGTTTCCACGTGCCAATCTCTGTATCAGAGATCAGGATTTAAAGATAAATATCATAGGATCTAGTTTTTTCCTTCAGGGAACTTAAAATGTAGCAGTGGAGACACACACACAACTAACAGAATGGACAATGACATGCACTTAAAGTATGTGAAGAAAACTGTAGAGGAGCTGGAGCTTAGGTAGGGAAGACTGAGGGTGGATTATAAAGAAAACTGAGCTTCAGGTTAAGAAGCCCATTCTCACTGGAGCCTGTTAGGGAGCACCACAGGAATGGAAAGAGGGCATATATTTGAAATAATAACTGACAGACTTAGCTGGGTGCAGTGGTACATGCCTGCAATCCCAGCACTCATAGGCTGATGCTGGAAGATTCTAATTTTGAGGCCCTGTCTCAAAAAAAACAAAAATAAAAACAAATACAAAAAAAAACTAACAGACTTAGAACTGACTGATCTCAGTGACGAGATAGATGAAAGAAAATAAGTAATTCTCCTAGGTGTGTAGGAAGTGCCACTGGCCGGAAAAGAGAAGGAACAAGTTGGAAGAAAAAGCTAGCAAAGCTGGTTTTAGACAGGTTGAGTGTGAGGTGCCCTAATCACCACACTAAAAAAATCATTAGATTTTTCTGGTGACTAGAAAATGTCTGACTTAGAAATTCTATGGTCCATTCCTTGGCCTTCTTCCCTGTTGGGTGTTTACAATGTTCTGCCAGGACACAGCTACTCTTATCACATACATGTGAGAGCCACTGTGTTAGTCCCAACTTAGCTATTCATGAAAAGTCCTTAACTTCAGGTTTTATCAAGTCTTTAAATCTAATATATTCTTTATCATGCTTTCTTAAAACATGGGACATCTGTTTTGCAGGGAAGTCTGACACAATCACAGAAATTTCCCAGGAATTTTTCCTAGTCACTGGCTAGAAAGTTCAATTCTAATGAGACAACATTATTTATAACTTTAAAAATCAAAAATGTTCAAGCACAGGCATTACTATTGCTTTCCACCTCTCAATATCATGGAAAGCCACTGGATATATGTATATATAAACATATATACACTCAGATGTGATGGGGAGATGAAAAGAGGGAAAATTAAGTATAATGAAACAAAACCTACATTTAACAGCAAAGGACCGTCATATACAACAGGATAGAAACAAACACCACAAATTCAGCATCAAGGTTTCCCTCACCTCACAGAACTGGTTAAAAAAGAATATTAGTCTAATTCTAGTGGTCTCACTTCTCAATTAACAAACCACCCTCAACAGTTTCATCCTGTTTGTTGTCTGAAAAGCAGAAGATACAAAGAAAGAATAGGCTGACTTTTAAGGGCTCCAGGACCCTTTAAACGAAAGTGCCTTAAATGGAATTACTGGCTAAATAGGTTTAATTCTGAGGAGTTGAGAAAAATGTACTGGCAAGTGGCAAATCTCTTAATGGAAACTAGGGGCAGGAATCAAAACTTAAGAGTCAGGCCCCAAAAGTGTAAGAGGTTTTGTTAACTGTCTGTTAGAAAGAATATCCCATAACCACAAGGACTCGCTTCTTGAAAATGACAGATAAATAAAACTGCTACATTAAACTAGACATGAAGAGACTCTGACACTGCAAAAGGTTTTAATACAGTTCATCAATACCTGCTGTTCCATGTATAAATCTGTACCTTCCTACCTCTTAGATGTCTGTGACCCACATACACTGAAAAGAGGCCACAAGAAGGAGAAAGACAGGATATAGCTCACTAGGACAGGGGTGAGGGACGCTTAGGGCTGTGGTCAGCTTTCATTTCCGATAATGGTCCATCCAACAATGTTAGAATCAAATAACACAGTCATATAAGAAAACAGAATATCTAGGCTGAGAAGACCTTATTGTCTCTGTGAGAAAAACAAGAGTCCTGGGATTAAGAGACTCACCCAAGCCACCTAGCATACCAGGTTATGGCTAGGGCTGGAATCCAGGCTCCAAATCCCAGCATGGCATTAATTTTGTACAAGACAAAAATCAGCTGGCTCACTGCTGTCTCTCTGTCTATCTATTTTGGTATTTTTTGAGACAGGGTTTCACTATATAATACAGGCTGGCCTAGAACTCACTATAGAGCCCAGACTGGCCTCGAACTTCTGGCCTCCTGGATGCTGGGATTACAGCTGTGTACCACCACAGCTAGCTTTAAACAACTTATTTAAATGACTGCAGTACTGCAATAAGCACAAAAGAAATCTGAAATTAGAAAGTCTAAAGATAAGCAGATTTCAGGAAAATTCCCTGCTGTTACAAAAAAAGAAACATTTTAAAGAAATCAGTCTTATACTTATGTCACATCCTTAGAACAAAAATACAATTACCTAAAAGTCACAGCTCTGTGAAGGTCAAAGTTATTTTCTGGGGTAGTAAATTATTTGCATACACATAAGAATTTTGGTGAAAACCAAGAAAATGAATCCACAAAAAACAAACATCAGGAAAAAAAACAAATAATTTGAGTTAACTCTGTCTTTAAAAAGGCAAAACACTAGTGTGGGTTTTTTTTTTTCCTCCCCAATTGATACTTAGGTCTAAAAATAAATTTGAAAAGTCAAAAAGCTTTAGGTCAAAATCAGGACTTGAAGTTTGGCAGCCCAAAGAATGTTCTTAAAGAACTGTACCTCATATTTCTAGAACCTATTCCCATTATTTAGCCCCTCAAAACTGAAGAAACCTAAGCAGGTTTTCCACCAAATCAAATACAACTCAGACCATCAGCTGTAGTTTAAGTTCCTTTAAAATGGAGGATTGTCAAACCAGCCCCAAATAAATATCAAAAACATTCTTTCTCAGAAAGAAGCTCTTTCCTGGCAAACAGTCAGGAGCTGCCTTCATTTCCACTTGCAGATATATAATAAACAGACTTTATAAACATACCAGGAAAAAACTCATTATCTCTGTCAGAGAAACTCAGCATAAATTTCTCTCCACATTTTGTTTTCTTGATTTCAGATGATTTCTTTAATATTCAACCACACTGTGATCATGAAACAGAGAGAAACTGAGTTCTTCAACAAACTGATTTCCAACCCCCCATGCAGGGAAGCCATAAAGATGTTTCAATAAAAAAAGAATCAGACACCAATGGCAAGGGAACTTAATTACTCATAAAACCAAGCACAAGTGTTTAATTTACACATGTAAGTAGCTAGCTTCAGTGGCTCTCTACTGAGATTAGAGTTTAAGACATGAAAACTACTTTGAAGCCACCTAAATCTAAATGAAGGTGCCTACTTGACACCCTGAGAAACTTGAATGGACCACGACATACTGCTTCAAGTGCTACATACTCTAAGTGCAAATCCAAACAGGTTCACCTACATCCCCCTACCCAAAGTCATACCCTGAGGGTATCATTTTCTCAACAACCTAAGCCATGTGAAACAGCTGTTCTAAACTCTCACTTTGAAACATCTTTCAATATATATCGCTAAGGTTCCATGTCTGAATCTGTGTGGGAAAAGCTATCCATCATTCACAGAACTTGGGCCAGCTATCAACAATTTATTTACTAAGTTAATAATACCAATCAAGACTAGGTGGTTAATCTGTTGTTCAAATGCTTGTACTCTCTGACAAGACCTGAGTGTTTTCTTTCTTGTTAAATAAAAACAGAACATCATCTTTTCCAGTCTTAGTTATCATTCTGTATGAATCTCATACTTTTTTTGCGGGGGATAGGGGAGCATTGGGGACTCAATTCAGGGCTGTGAGTCTGTTAGGCAAGTGCTCTACCCTTGAGCTATACCACCAACCCTGAACCTTGTACAAGACCGGTGATACAACATTGTGTGAAACAGTGCTGGTATTTTAAAAAGAAAAGAAAAAGTAATTGATGTGCTTTGATACCAACTGCTTGGTAACGTTCATTTGCAAATAATAATTAGATTTTGGAGTGTGAATATCACCATCACCAAATCTTAAGAACTTTAACTTTACTTACTTGTATTTTAAGAGCAGCCACTGAAGTAACCAGAGTCCTACAAGGATCATGCCATTAATTTCACAAATAGAAAAGGCCCACTGCACCCGGTCAAAATGGTCAAAAAATGTGTCCGGTAGTGGAGGCTGCACCTCCTTAGGAGGTACTCGTTCATGGACGACCGAGATCATCACTGTGGTGAGGACAAAACAGGAAAGTGCATAAAGAAAGGCCAGAAAAGTCTTGCCCCACTCCATGGGGTACTGGGAGCGCTCCAATTCTGGCATGGGGATCTGTATCATCTCTTTCCTATACCCATTTGGCATCCCATTGGGTTTTGTCTTGATGCTGAAGCTGCCATCAGGGGTGGAGATGTCTACACCAACACTGAGGTGCCCATTGGCATGGCCATTCTTGTGTGCTTCCATGTGGTGCTCCATTTTCAGGGTCTCTATCATGTCTAAGAGCCGCTGCCCATTGTCTGAGGAGACTCGGCACAAGGGGGGTTTTGTGAAATCCTCTTGGGTTAGGCTGATCAAGTCTTGGCCTGTGAAATGTTCCAGAGGTTCACAGTATTCTGGCATAGCATTCTCCAAGAGCCAGTCTGCCACCTTCTTGGGTGACCAATAAACCACTTCCTTCATTGTACTGGCAGACAACAATGCAGTCACCAGCCTGCTCTGGGAGGTCAGCAGTCACTGGTCCTATAGGGCAGGACACTGTCCCTCCTTGATTGGTTCATCCTGTTGGGCCTCATGAATGGGAGCTCCTTTGGCAAGATGGTTGGGGCAGATTTTTAAAACTTCATGTAGCTGTCCACGGTTCTGAGTGCCCAAGCATTAATTTACCTCATTTTCAACCGGATTCTTCCTTCTGTGGAAGCAAAGGAAAACGGTCAGGACACCAGACTTCCAAATCTGCCTCTTCAAAATGTAGAGTCTGGGCATGAGGAGTGGAAATGGAAAGCCAGTTATGGGGAAAATCCATGATTCTTGAATACATGTTCATTTTAGGAACCACTGACTCCCTGATTATTAGTATTCTCTGACAGCACACTAAATTGGGTCTGAAAATGGATAAGATCACAGGGGACATATTTTACAGCATCTTTAGTGGTATATTTACTAAGAATAATTCAATAATGCTCAACATTGACTGGAGATCCTCTTTGTACTTGGTATGTTTCCTTGAGAAAATCTGAAAGAATATTGCATCTAACTGGCAGGCTAGCACCACCCCATCGTCTAAGTACAGGAACACTAACCCTGTGAAGGCAACACCTCAGAGAATGCAAGATCCATTAGTGGGTTCCATTCCACAATTTACTCGGGAGACCAAAACCATTCCCTACGAGAACCCCTGTGTCTCCCTGAGAGCTTGAATTCTCCATCCACTTTCCACTAGCAAACCCAGAGCCTTCCCTTACTCTTTGATGGAGCTTCTCTGAAAGTCTTTCCTAGTCACTCTATTTAAAAATTCTTTTCCCCACATCACCAACACCTGACAGCTGTGACACACAATGGAACGCTGGGTCCATGGAGTAGGAGAAAGAGGGGCAGCCATGTCAGTCAGGGAACCCTAATCGAGTGAGGAAGCTCTTCGCCTTTTGACAAAGTTCTCTAGCCCCCAGTAACTTTGGTTTCCTCTGAAAAACAAGCTTAGCAACCCCTTATCTGCAGGCTCCTGCCTCCAGGAGGACATAATCACTCATACAGATGAAAAGTCATGAATCTTCTTCATAATATATGTCTCCTCTTTGTAACATCCTACTTTCTTTCTGATGCCCAACTGGGCCCATAGTGGCATTTCATAAATATTTACCAAAACAGCCTCCTACAGTGGCTTTTCTAAAGCCCAGTCGTTCTAACACACTGAATAAAGACACAGACCCCATTTCAGGAGAAAATAAACCTTCATTTTCAAGCAAGCTGTGAAATTTGAAATTAAAGGCATAAGTGATTTATCTGTAGCTGATGCTGAAATAATGCAAAAGAGGGAAAACTCATTTCTGTGGAAGTGAAGTGCTGGACAGCTACTGGGCACATCAAAAGTCACTGCTGATACACCTGTTCACAGAGCCCAGTGCCACGCTGCAGAAGTAGAGTTAAGAAAGTTACTTTGCCCTGGGATCACAAACTCAATTTAGATATACTTCGGCATTTTTGAAAAGGGACAGGTGAAGTACTCTCACATCTAGATCCAGAGAATGCATCTTCACCTGGACTCTGAAAACAACTACTACCAGTGCCCAGAAAAACCCACTTTGCATTCATTCCTGGGAGACTGCTCAAAAAAATCACATATAGCCCAAATAAGTAGTTGTATTCTCAGAACTGGGAAGAAGTACTAGGAGAATAAAAGCCATATGTAAATTCTTCCTCCTAAAACATTTGAGAGAGAAGAGGATGTGGGAACTCCTGATCTTCTATAATTTTTAGAGTTCAAGTCCAATGAGATTGTGATTTGCCTAAAATTTCATATAATGTGAAGAGTTTGCTCAGGGGCTAGACCAAGATCCAAGATGCTTTCTAGGGCTCTCCCACTGAAAAATAGCCACACAGAACTGAAAACATAGGAAGCAGAAACTAAAAAGTCCATTTACAAAATAATGGTGTCCATTAGTATAAAAGGCACATGCTCACTGTAGGTTCAAATTTCAGCAGGACATTCTGTCTGGTAGCAGCTATATAAAAAATAAACATACTAAATTTCTTTAATATTTTAAAAGCCTTTTAGATAATGTGCTATAACATGGTATATACTATTTTTAGTTAATTACCAAAGATAGGTTTTAAAAACAGAAAATAAGTTAAAAGCAATTATCCTGGTAACAGAAAAAGGATTTAACCAGGCAAAATCACTAAATAAATCATTTAGAAATATTTGTTTATAATTTCTAAAAAGCATCTATTATCTTATTGCCTAGTATTGTCTAGAAATAAAACAGTGCTCTGCTAACAAAAACCAACCATCAGAATTACAAACCAAACATGAGGGTTCTCAAGAATTAGAATATCACAGAATGTATTATATAACTATTCATGCAGCAATTGCTGAGAAATTTCAAGCTCCAATTATTACTTTCTCATTAACCTGTACTCCAACCCCTGTGTCTCAGTTTCCTGTAAGGGGATAATTTATTAATTCACGTATTTCATTAGTAAAAAGAATTTACATGTTCCTCACTGTGCGTTGGCAAACAAAGTAGTACACTAAAAACTTAAGAAAATACTGCAGTGAGTGTAATTTACTCTTGCCTTGAAGATTAAATGGATTTTAAAATGACTAACACGAAATCAAGAATTCAATTTTCATGACTTTTTAAAAATTTTCATGACTTTTTAAAGTAGGACAGACAAAAGACTGAACAAACATGGCTGGCACATCAGTGAGGAAATTGTAAGGGAAAGTTAGTGTTTGTTTTGATAATGGCAAGAAGTAGGAAGTAGTACACAAATGGTCTAACAGACATTTAGTGAGCTACACTTCCTGTTTCAAACATCAAAGCTGTACAACAAATGTAATATGAAATATATACATAATTTTATTCTAATAGCTTATAATCAATGCAAAATCAAAATTTGGTGGGCATGTAACACTTAGCACAAAGCTACTTGTGGATATTTTGTTAAAGAACAGCACAAATCAAGTATTGGCATTATTTCACTATGAAACAGACTAAATGACTCTGTAAAAGCTTCAAGCTCAAATAAAGGTCTTAAAAGTTAACAGTAATCTAATTGACCTTTTAAGGCAATGCAGGCCACTAAAACACTCATGAGAAAGTTGTTTAATTCTTCTCCATTTGGATAGTTCCTAAATGCTTTTCTTTAAACCAATATAATAAGCCATATATTTTCTTATTTAGCATTTGAGGAGTTAAACAGTTCACAACATCATATATATTTGAAGAATAAAATGGTTAGAGTAATAATGACATAGGTTTAGCCGCAGAACCTACATATTTATTTCCATCTACAGTTTTGGAAGTTTTAGACGATAACTTGGTGTCTTAACCCTTAAACTGCCCACTGTTTTACATTATTATTCATGCAGTGCTCACAATTCCACAGTCCAGTTCTGTTTGGCAAATAAAATCATTTCTTATGAAACTGGCTCTTCAGACTAAGTATATGCTGACCTACTTCGCTGAGACTTAAGAAGGGCTTGCTGACTATGTAATGCCTTTTGGTCCACTTAGACTCTTAAGACTCTAGGCCAGAGGTGGCAAACCTATGGCACTTGTTCCATAGCTGGCTATTTATTATCACTTAAAGCTCTAAAAGGTTCACCTCTGCTGCTCTAGGCTGCAGGAAGAGCCTCATTTGAAGATATCTTTTGGTCTCCTCCTCCCTTTGTTTATGTTGTGATACTTAATACTTACATTTCACAGCACCTAAACTGCATTCCTCCTAGTGGCTGCCCTACTCAGCTCACTCAACTAACAGCCTCTCTTTGTATGTCCTCCTCCCAAAACACGATAAATACATTAGAATGTAATAGCTCTCAATGTACCAAAGGAAAGAGATGATTTTTTTGTTAATAAAACTAATAGGTATAAGGTATAATGACAAGAAAACAGCTACACCCTTTATACCAGATATCATAGTTCTAATCATTCTCTGAGGGTATGAAATCTACTATTCAGAGTCCTATCATCAGCAAATTCACCTTTCCTTACCCTGAGACCCTATTTGAGTCATTGTGTGATGGGCTGATTATATAAACATTTAGTAACCAAAAAATCCAAACAAGAACTTACTATAGCAAAAAATTAGAAACAGACTAAAAGTTCTACAGTGGGCACTGGTAACTATTACTCAACAGAATACTAAGCCTCCACTGAAGATTGTACTACCTTTCTATATTGAGGATGACAAATATTCATAGCTTTGTTAAGTGAATAAAATACCATCTTTGTAAACACATACATGTTGTAGGTATCATGGTATGAAATCTCAGAAACTGTTAGGCGTCTCCTTAACTGTTATCTTTGGGTAACAGAAGAATGACATATTTTCTGCCTTTTTTCAGTATTTTTCCCTTCTCTAATAAATATGTATTACTTGTCTTTGGCAAGGGAAAACTATGGTCCTTCTTTCAAAGTATATTCTATTTTTAAACATGTAGATTGCACTATTAAACTAAATATAGATACTTGCTATACTAGTTTTCTTTAAATCTATGGAATGGGTTTGTAAATTTCTCTAAATAACTGGAACCTTTGCTTTCCATGTATAATTAATGGTTCCAAAATCCTTCATATTCCAATAGGCCTGACAGGGGAACCAAAGCACCAAGAAAGATAAAGGTGACATCCAAACCTAAGTGCACAAAGAAATTCCAGGTCTCAGATATTTCTCATCGTCCCAGACAGAAAACAACAAACCATCCAAACTAGAACTGCTCTATCACCTAAATTTTCTTCAGTGTCTAACCATCCAGGCTGCTACAAAATAGAAAAGACTAAGAGATCTTTTAAAAAACTCTGCCCATTGTCATTACAATAAGGAAAATTTTGTATAGTTCTACTGACAACTAATCATCATAGTTTTCCCATGGGATTTCATTCTTAGAACTCTATTACCAAAAACTTGGAAGATAATTTATTCCCACTCAATTCATCAGCAGCCTCTGTCTGAAGCCAGCAGGGCTATTCTAATACAATATTTGCCTACTTAATCTGCAGTACTTGGGCTTGGATTCACGTGAGCAACAGCCGGAAAATGTCAGGACATAAGAAGTGTTTTCAAATTCCATTTGTTCTCACATGAGCTGATATGTACTGTGCTGATCTTATCTTTCCAAAGCAGGCAAGAAAGACTCTCTATTCCTATCATGCAACACTCTTTTCCTTTGCACTCTTCCCATTT